GGGATTTATAGGCATGAACAACCACATCCAGCTATCCTTTGATTTTTTTTTTTTCATTTTCTTTCTTGTTTGGTACCAGGAATCAAACTCACAACCTTACACTTGTGCCACTGACCTATATCTCCGGCTGTTTTGTTGTATTGCTGTAAACTATTCTGCAAAATGACCAAGGGATTTAGTTTGCCTACCTGGAGCCATGCTGATAGGGGAATACTAAGAATTCCCTCAAGAACTCTCCCAGCTCCAGCCCACGGGCTTCGGGAAACCCTTGCAGGCCACCATACTGTAGGCCTCTCTGAAATCACATCTCCTGGACCTGGCCCCACCATCAGAACCTCTTTTGAAGACACAGAAGTTCCTCCTTTTAAATCATAGCAACTCATTACACGAAGTTGCTTTGTGATAAATAGCCATCAAGACGAATGTGGGCAGGCAGCGTGTCCTTCAGTTTTGCTTTGGTGCCAGCAAACCGCAAGCATCTCAAGCCACTTCCACAGACATCAACCTGTCATCTCCTCTGATCCTCAGGCCAACCACGGAAGGCCACAGGGTGGAGGGAGGACCCTCATTAAAGATGAAGGGCTTCTGGGGAAGCCGAGAGGCAGGTCTCAGTCTGGGGGCCTCTGCAGGAGAGCTGTGGGCGAGAAGTTCCCAGATGTTCTCAGATTAGTCCTGTCATCAAAAATGTGAAATGCGTCTCTTCCAGTCCCTGGGAGAGCACCGTCTACAAAAGACGCTCACACTGGCGCTAAGATTTTGCCAAACAGGAGACCCATCTGTGCTTATTAACTAAGCTCTTTAATTATTTAAAACATGTTTTAAAGTTTAAAACATCAACTTTCATTTCACCCAAAGCAGTAGTATCCAAGAAAATGCATAATTAATTTCTTTTGTTTTTATGTTCGGCTGCAGATGTTTTAGAATTATCTTGGGTACCAGCCATGATAACACATATTTGGGAAATATTAGAACAAGATTAATGAGATAAATTGCAGTCATATTTACTCATCGCAAAATTGTTTTATTAATTTCTTTTTCAGAAAAGACAGTTCACCAGAGGACTTCATGGTTAGCAGCACAGAAAGAAAAATCTTAATTAAGGATTTGCTACCATGAAATCAATCTTAATTAATCCTTAATTAAGGATTTGCTATCATGAAACTTTATTTGATTTTAGGCTCTGAGCAGTCTGAAGTGAGGGACTTGCTGTGTCCATCTCTATATCCTGAAGAGTGAGTTATTTTATGTCCCAGATTTGAGGACATATTAATGTTAAATATCACCCTAGTGACCTCTCTGTCAGCTTTGGACCCAGGGCCCTACGAAGCTTCTAGAAGCTGATGTTACCTAGCCTGTCCATGGAGGTCGGGGTCTAGAGTGGCCTTTTGTCCCTCAGTCTCTCACAGATGACCAGAAGCCCAGCTTCCTAAAGAAAGTGAGGGCTCGAAAATTCAATTTTTCTGTCCAACAACTACTCATTAATAACAGAGATACCAACAGCATCTCTGCAGGGAAGGAAGGAGGGACTCATCCAGTTCCCCGGTTCATTACATCCTGCCCTAAGATGGGTCAATTTCCCCAGACCCTGCCAGACCCCAACAGCTGTGCCCCTGGAGTCACTTGTTGGGTCCTGGGAAGTGACTTAGTGTTTGGGCATAGCTCTCTTTTCAGGATCTAAGTATGGAAATGCAGCATCCTAGAAAGATGACACCTATCCCATGGATCATTGACACTGGGGCCTATGACTGGAATCCCACTGACCATTCCCCAGCAATTCAACTCAGCTGGTTAAGTCCCTACCTCCTACCTGCTTCACACCTCAGTTTAAGCCTTGGGCCTGCTGTTAACTTACAGGGCAGCCTCCGACAGCTTACTCCACCTGCCATTCCTAGCTGTTAAAAATTTCTGAGGTCCTATGTTTTTGAAATTCACCCTTTCCAAAGAATCTGTCCTAGGATTGGCCGGCTGAAGGAGTCCAAGCAACTGGGGAATAAGGCAGTCTCAGTGTCCCCACCCCAGCCTCCGCCCCAGGTGTCAAGTTACCAGCCTGCACTCTCACTGGGTGGTAGTGCCGCCTCCGATATTTTTAGACTTCCCCCTCATCCTGGCCCTAACCAGAGCCAGACGCATCCTGTTGAAATTGAACTCGCTGGTAACTTGTGGAAGGAGACAAATCACGACTCCAGGGGCAAAGAGGGGAACCTCTCCGTCACCCCCATACCTATCCCATTCCATTCCTTCCCCCAACAAGCTGAGGCCCCGCAGAGTCAAGCTCCATTTCTTTTACTATGCCAGCTTACCTCTTCCCCCATTCCAGCTGCCTGCTTTCCTCAGCCCAGTCACACGTGCGCACACACCCTCATTATTTTAGGAAATCTCTAGGACCCCCCTCACCTTGGGTAACCAACACCTTCATTCACTACGGAGCCTGGGTGGCTGCAGAGCCCACCCCTATCCCCACCCCAGGCTTGGCCACGGAAGCCTGCACCAGAGGCCCCATGTGGCCTCAGAGCTGGACATCAGCCACAGGTTACAACACACACAATTCACTGGCCGGCTACGAGGTGCCTGGACTCCTGCCTCTCAGGCACATCTCGCCAGCCAAAAGTCCAAAGCCATTTCGTCTGGCCAGGAAAGTATTTATATAATTTTTGTCTCAACAGACTTCCCTTTCTGGTCATGTCTGTCTGTCTGTCAGAGTTCACTGTGACAAAGAAGTGGCCTTTGCTGAGCTTCACAGACTGGGAAGGTGTAGGGCGGAGCAAGGCCAAGGGAATGTCTGTGTGGGCTTGGGCCACAGAACTGGCCCCATCCTCCGCATGGCTGACCTGTCAGAGTGCTCCCACCTAGATACCATGAAAGAGGCAGAGAATAGAAACCTAGGCGTGTGTGTGTGTGTGTGTGTGTGTGTGTGCGCGCGCATAACGGATGTGCCCTGTACGTGTAATTCAATGACCCCAAGTAGGGTAGTGCTGGCCTGAGAGGGTCCTCCCCTTTGGGTGGGGCAGCAACGGCCAAGCTCCACCTCTTCACACCACTGCTTCCAGCTGGCCCTGCCCTTCCCCTCTGCCCCTGCCACCTACCCTAGGTTGCAGGCCAATCTAAATTCCCCACTAAAGGCACAGGAGAGGCTCCAGGCTGTGAGGCTGGTTCTGTTTCCCTCCCAACTTCCAATTCCCTGAAGCAGGGTGGAGGCGGTAAGATCCAAAACCCCTCAGTGGGAAAACAGGTTCAGCACCTTTCTGCCACCTCCGTGCCCCTCCCCAGGCTACGGGCTGGGCATCTCTCAGCCAAGGCCCCCATAGGCATCTGCACCCTGTTTTCCCCAGCAGGGTCCTCCCTTCCCAGTTTCGTGCAGCCACTGAGGCCTCTCCAGGTCAAAACAGGGGGCTTGCGGGGAGGCAGGAAGAGTTCTGAGCCTGCATCTCTCAGCTCTTGCTCTGTGGCCCTGGGTGACCAGCCTTGCTCCTCTGGCCTGGATTTCCCCATCTGCAACAGGGGAACAGCTAGGGTGAAGATCCCTTGGATGGGCGGGAAAAGGAGCAGGCAGAGCCACTACACACCTCATGAGAAGGAGCAGGCAGAGCCACTACACACCTCATGCGCCTCCCCACTGCATTCTCTCAGGGCCACTGTTCCTTCTAGGCCCCTTCTCCTCCCAATCTGAAGGCTAAATTCCAGGAAAAGATGGCCAGCCACATCTCCACTGTCAGACTGATGGGCAGGGGTAGCTACAAGTGTCTTTTCTTTTCTCCCATCATGCTAACATACACATTTATGACTTTAACCAATTAATTGTAAGTGCACAATCCAGTGGTGTGAAATACTCTTGCAATGCTGTGTAGGCATCACTACTATCTGCACACAATACTTTTTTCTCCCTTCCCAACAAAAGCTCTATACCCCTTAAACACTAACTCTCACATTCTCACCTACCCCCAGTGCCTAGCAACCACAGTTTCTCTGTCCATGGGGCTGTGAATTCATGGTACCTCCTAAAAGAGTTCTTTGGGCTGGAGGCTTCTTTAACTCTTGTCCCAACCCCTCACTCACAGTCATAACATCAATGCCTGCATGCACGCGCGCACACACACACACACACACACACACACACACACACCACTTGAGAGGGACAGTAAGGCCTGGCTGTCAACTTTGTCATCCCACAGTTAACTCCATTCCATTCTGATCTGCAGGGAAACTTTGTTCTATGGGATCTCCCTTGGTCCAAGTGTCAGTCCCCTAGCAAGGCTTTGAAGACTGAACTGGAGTGGATTGGGATTCCTGGAATGAGGAGGGCATACGGGCCACACCCCATTTCTCTTCTCCCACCCGCTGCAATCCTTAGGTGAGGCTCTCCTAGGAGAGCCCTTTAAGCTTATAGAGCAGGAGGTAGGGGAAAGCGTCGCCCTAGCAGTGCACCCTCCACCCCCACCAACTGCGGCGGACCCTTGGAAGTTGCTCCTCGCCGCTGGGGGGCGCTGGAGACGCAGCCGGGCAGAGAAGGGGTGCGCAGACTGCCAGGACCCGCGCACCAGCCTGGGCGCAGCCGCTTTGCCCGCTCAGATCTAAGGGGACCCGGCCGCGGGGGGTCTGAGTCCCACACGCGACAGGGAACCCCCTTGTACTCCGAGGGCACTCGTTCTGCGGCTGGCGAGGCGAGGGGAGCCGCCCTGGCTCCTCCCCAAACTTTTCCCGCCAGCCTGAGCGCAAAAGGCGAAGGAAGCTGACTCGGGATGGCGAGGTGGAATCCCGGACGCGCGGGCGTGGCGCCCACAGGAGGGATGGGCTGTGCCCGGGAGTGGTGGTGGTGGTTGGGGTGAGCAGGAATCGGGGTCTGCGGCACTGACGGCGCCTCGGCCCCTCTTTGACCCCCACAACCCAGGGCTTCTCAGGCCCCGAAAGTGCACTGTGGCGTCCCTGCTGCCCGGTGCACGCTGCCCTGTGCCCCGACGCCACCCCGCGCTCTGCTCTCTTCCCCGGGCGTGCCCCCAACTCACCGGGCGCAGTCGGCGGCGCGGGCGGCTGGACAGACAGATGCACGGGCTGGGCGCGAGGCGAGGCCGCCGGGCTGTTTTGAAGCTCTGGGCCGGGACTGCGCTCCCTCCCTCCTCCCTGGCGGCGGCGCGGAGCCTCCTCCCCACGGCTCCCTCCTTCCCGAGCCCGCCTCCCGGGCCGTGATGTCAGGAGCCCGAGCCGGGGGAGGGACCACAGGAGGCGGTGGGGGACCCTGGAGGGAAAGGCCAAACGTCGGGAGCGCCCCCTGCCTCCGCCCGTCTTCCCGCCTTGCTCAGGCAGTGTTTGGGGAGGAGTCGGGGCGCTGCTGAAGCCGACAGAGGAGGAGAAAGACGCCCGGGAGCTGGAGCGCTCCGGCTGGGTTCAACTCCGCTTGCCACCCCTTGCACTCTTGTCCGCGCACTTCTCCTCCCCTTTGGTAGGGGTTTTGGAGTCCAGCCCTTTCTTAAGCACTCCGTTAGTTCGGAGAGCTTGTTTAATCACGCCTGCCTCAGTGTCCTCTTTGGAAAAGGACTCTTTCCTCGAAGTGTTGAAGACCTGAAAGTGACATCACACCGAGGGCTTGGCAGGTACAGCAGAAGCGCTCCATCAGGGCTTATCACTGTTATTTTTATCATCTCAGACCTCGTCTTGGTGTAGGCTGACAGGGACCTGAACCAGTCCTAAGGTCTCTCCGTGTTCTTTCATTAGCTTTCCCCCAGTACACACAGAGATCCCCTCATTCCTGCCCTGTTCTTTGTTTTTTTTTTTGGTTTTTTTTTCCCCATAATTTTATTGAGAAACAAATAGCAATGAGACAGTTTCAAATCAAATTGGTAGGACAGTTCCAATAATTAACACATTGCATTCTGTCTAGTGGTTATTTGCTGTACAAGATGCAGACATGATATCCTATTTACATACACTATTAGAACAAATCCCTCTATTCATTAAGAGAATGTAACTATATAT